CTGACAAAGGAGATTAATCAGAACTGGCTTTGACAAGTACTATGGTAATTGGACAATTAAAATAGACATTCGGGGGGAGGGGGAGAAGAACGAACTGGGGAGGAGGGTAGAGAAAACAGTGCAACAATGAATGAATGAGAACCCAAAATCTCTGTAAATGTTCATTAAAACTAATAAAATTTAATAATAATTAATAAATAAATTGCCCATGTAAGGAGGGGGGAAAATACTATTCTATTTTTTAAACTATTCATAAAGATACATAAGAAAAATGTTTTTAACCTGTAAGGGGTGGGATATCACGATTAACAGCTCCTTCTGCTTCTTCTAAACCATTATTTATTGATGGCCTCACTTGAACTGCTTGATTTGCGTAAGCTGCTCCATTAGTTGATGTAGTAGTACTGGTAGTTATCTCATCCACCTGTTCCATATCAAGTTGTTTTACTATCTCTTCAGCTTCCACAGCCTGTCCTGGGGAATCTGATCCTGATGTTCCTGAAATCATATATCAGTATATGCACAATCATTTTTAAATGCAATGAAGAAACAAAAAGCAGAATAACTTTAAAAACCAAAACTCAAATCCACTGCCACTGAGTTGATTCTTACTCAGCGTGATTCCCCTTAGATTTCTGAGGCTGTAAATTTGAATAGCAGCAGCAAACTAGCTCATCTTTCTCCACTGAAGTAGCTAGTGGATTTTAATTTTTCAGTTAGTAGCTCAGCATGCTATTACTAACTATGGCATTAAGGCTCCTTAGTATCACTTTATAATTTAATCAATTTGTAATTTATAACAGTGATGACTCTTTCATTCACTATTAAGTCAAATATTTTCCTAAGAGTTTCCAAATACTTTATAAACATCTATTTGTAATTTATCATAATTAAGGACTTCTTTTCATTAATTATCTTTACTGTTTTTATGGGTGTCAAGTCCATCGTGGTTTTCTTTTCTGGGCTGTGATCTTTAATGGAGCAGATAGCTAATTTTTTCCCCTTAGTCACTGGGTAGGTTGTAATTACCAACCTTTCATTATCACCTGAGCATTTAGTGCCACCAGGGCTTATAAGAATTTACTGTGGAAATAATTACACAAAATGATGTATAAAAATTAGCAAATGAAAAACTAACTACCCTTGTAAACTTTCACCCATACTTTAAGAAGTTTTAAAAATCCTTCTCTATTAAATGATATGGAAATAAAATATGGTACAACTGATCCAAGTCATGGTCTTCTCAATTGCTTGCTATGCATCCAAAAGTTGGACAATGACTAAGGATGACCAAAGAATTGATGCCTTTGAGTTGTGGAATTGGAAAAGCGAATTGAATATCTTATGAATGGCCAAGAGAAGAAACGGGTCTGTCTTGGAGAAAGTGAAACTAAGTGCTCCCTGGAGGTTAAGGATAGTTAAAACTCTGTGTTACACACTTTGGGCATGTTTTTATTTAAAATTTTATTTTAATTTTTTTGTGTGTGTACTGTCAAATCGGATCTGATAGGTACAGGAGGAGATTGTGGGCATGTTTTCAGGAACCAGTTCTTGGAAAAGAACACCATGCTTGAAAAGGTGGAGGGAAGACAGGAAGACTCACAAGAGGCATTGACATGGTAACTGTAACAATGGGCTCAAGTGTGTCAAAGATGGTGAGTACCAAAGGATAAGGCAAAGTTTAGCATATAACAACAATAAGTTAACTGATAATTTGTAACAAATATTCACGTTTATGTCTTCATTATACTCAGTTGTCACCCTGTTGCCCAATTTTTAATGTAATTATAGAATGATACCAGCTTTTTCTGGAATCCTACTTGTATCATTTTTAAACAACAAAATTAAGAGACAAAACCAATTTCCAATACTTTGAACTTTCTTCTTGTTGTTGTTATGTGCTGTCGAGTCGCTCGATAGTAAACCTATGTACAACAGCCCTAAACTCTGCTCTGTCCTGTGCCAATCGCACTGTCGCCGGTATACCCATCCCATCCACCTCATAGAGGGCCTTCCCCTCCTGCACTGTCCCTCCACCCTACGAAGCATGATGTCCCTCTCCAAGGACCGGTCCCTCCTTACAACATATCCAAAGTATGTTAGATGGAGCCTCAGAGTCCTTGCCTCTAAGGAGCCACCCGGTTTAACCCTCTCCAGGATGAATCTGTTTGTTTGCTTGGCAGTCCAGGGTACGTTCAATACTCTTCTCCAGGTCCACAGCTCAAAGGCATCAATTCTCCTTCTATCCTCCTTGGTCATTGCCCAACTCTCTGATGCATAACAAATGATTGCAAAGACCATGGCCTGTATCAGACACACCTTAGACTCCAGAGAGACACCATGCTCTTCAGTACTTTGGAGAGGTTCCTAACAGCGGACTTTCCCATCGCAATACGATTAAAAAAAAAAAAAAAAGAATAAAATAAAAAAAACCCTTTTTTAAAAAAAAATTCTTTTTTGTTTGTGTACTGTCAAATGGGATCCAACTGGTAGGGGATTGTCCCTCCTTCTCCAGCAGAGCATCTGGTGGATTTGAACCACCTACCTCAGGGATTGCAAGGCAGCTTCTTGCCACTAGGCCACCAGAGCTCCCTGAAATACGTCTTTTAATTTCCTGGCTGCTGGTGCCAAGAGTTTTGACTGTGGAGCCAAGCAAACTAAAGCTGTGAACAATCTCAATCTCTTTACCATGCATCCTAATGCTGCCAATTGGTCCAGTGGTGAGAATCTTTGTCTTCTTGACATTGAGTCTCAATCCATGTTGAAGGCTGCAGTTCTTGACCCTCTGTAGCAAGCGCTTCAGGTCCTCCTCTTATAGAATGAATATTCCTTTCTCCCTTGTTGCTTTAAATTTAACCACGTTCCTAAAAACATCTCTTACCTCAAGGATTTCCCTTATATTCTATGTACTAGTTCAGTTAGAATTCATTTACCATCAGTGGTACCTACAGATTATTAGTGTTTCACTACTGTCCAAAACATGCCTGCTCTCGAGACTGGTATCACTCATCTAGATGATTCTTCATTTTACTACTCTGTCATCTATTTTCAGCACTCTCTTCTTAATGACCATAAAGTTGTTACCACAGGTGATACCAATGACTCAGAACACTGAATTCTCAAAGTTCTTGCTCTCTTTAGCAATCAATAACCACAGCCTTACCCTCACGTTACTACTAAGTAAGTTTGCCTGTGAAACCTAAAATTCTAACTTACCAATCCTTTACCAAAATCTCCCAACCTTCCAATTATCAGTCATATTCTCTCAGCATATATGATCTTTAAGCTTAATAAAAACCAGACATTTTATCTCAACCATTCCTCAACAGCTTCTTCCCTGTTGGCTTCATTTATGAAGTGTCAGGGTGAATCAATTAAACCATTCTTTGTGTCTTTGCCTCCTTATCTGTTATCTGTCATAAAAATTTCATCTTTTAACTAAGTAACAAATTGGCTCTTAAACAAACACTACTCATGAAGAATGAGCTCCTGAAAAAATCATCTATATGAGACCAAATGTTAAAAACTTCTCTTAAAGCAAAGATGACAAATAAGGTGGCAAGGACACTAGAGTACTAAAAACGGAACAGAGTAGAACCAGAAGAGAATGAATAAGAATAATGACTCATTATTAAAAAATTTAATGAGTATTAGTCAATAATTTGTATACCAACTGTTAAATGAGAATCAAACTGCTGTGTAAACACTCAACTTAAAACATGACATTTTCTAAAAAGGAAAGAAAATCCTTGCATTTTCTTCAATCAGTCTAAGCAACTAGCTTCTTGGTCTTAGTCACAGGTTACTGAAGGAAAGACTATTTCTATTTCAAATAAAGCCTTCTAGTCTTAGCTAGGCTCATTGCTGCACAGCACTTTTTTGGGTATTAGCTCCCTTTTCATACTCCCTACACCAACTATTTTAAACAACTCAGTATGTAACACAATCGCCTTAAAAAAAAAAAAAATCAAACATCTTCGCCAGGCATCTATTTTTGCACAGAACTCTCTGGCTTCTTTGATGCTGAAAGATGGCCTTTATTTCAATTCTACAGTCCTCTTGGTCCTAATCTAATCCTATCAACTGTCTCAAGAAACTATCTCAAATGATTACTTCCTTTCCCCTTCCTCTATTTTCAACCCTTCTTCTCAGATCCCTTCCTTTTTATGAATTCTTCCATCACATTTAAACTCCTCCCAATAATTATCCTACTGTTCTAATCCAAAGAAATTAGGCTTGCAACTCTAAACACTCCTTTGAAATTATTCTAGCAAAAGAAATCAATGACCTTCTAAATAACAGGTTCAGCAATGGATTTCTAATGATCATCTCCTTTTCTTCTACGATTAAAATTACTGGACTCAAGTAGTTCAAATTCTTTTCTTCCATACATACTTTGTTTGATCATATCACTTTTTCCAGCCATTATATATTTTCCCCCAGAAATCTAGTCTTGGTCTGCTGAATCCATTTACTCCACTGGTTTCAACTAATAAACTGTAAATTGCTGAAACCACAACTAACTGCCTAAACCCAAAACTGTTTTGAGTTACTACACTTTTTAATTCAGTTGTCTTATGGCATCTCAAACACAGCACATTGCTGTGTGCAGGAGAGTCAGAACTGACCCACAGCTGACTCTCCAGAGGGTTTTCAGAGGCAGTAAATCGCACAGGAGGAGACTGCTCAGCCTCCGCAGAGCAGCTAGTAGATTTGAACCATATGCCTTAGGAATTGCAGGGCAGCTTTTTACCACTAGGCATAATTAAAGACAATGACCTAACTTCTCCCTCTTGAGTGTTCTACTTGTGTTACCTTTTTCTTTCACCTTTAATCAGTGCCCAAAATTTGTTCTTTCTGTAACTGCTGATCTGTTCTCTCTTCTTTAATGTCACAATTAAGGTTTCATAAAGTCTCCCCTGAACTAAATCAAGCCTATTAATTGTTCTTTGGCTAACCTCCACATTTTAAAATCTAGCTATTAAAAATGAGCTTTATAAAACACCAATTTAAAATCTTGCTCGTTTCCTCTAATACCTAAGAATAAAGTTCAAGCACCTTATCATTTTAATTCCAAAATCTGACATTTTAATAATTTTCCTATGTTATCCCTCCTTACACAAACCATTCCTTATATGTCTTTCTCAAATTCAGTGTCCCAGTGACAACTGCGATTTCTCAAATACATGACATTGCTTCCTGCTACAGAGCCTTTGTTCATTCTTTCCCTTTCTTGGAATACTTTCTTCTTCTCTGTAAAAATCTATTCATCTTTCAAAACTTAGTTTCTTTTTTGTTGCTATAATCAAGGATGCTTTACGAAGAATATTAAATGATCCAGGAAGTATTAAAAGAAGATGGAAAGAATGTACTGAGTCACTGTATCAAAAGGAACTGGCAAACACAGAAGAATTTAATGAAATCACATATGAGCAAGAGCCTATGGTGATGAAGGAAGAAGTTCAAGCTGCTTTGAAGGAAACAGCAAAAAATAAGGCCCCAGGAATAGATGGTATACCAACTGACATTTCAGCTCACAGATGCTGCCCTGAATGTGCTCACCAAGTTGTGCCAAGAAATCTGGAGAACAACCACTTGGCCAACTGACTGGAAGAGATCTATATTTGTTCCCATTCCAAAGAAGAGCGACCCAACAGTGTACGGAAACTATAAAATGATATCATTGATTTCACACGCAAGCAAGATTCTACTGAAGATTATCCAAAAACGACTGGAACAGCACATCAGCAGAAAACTGCCAGAAGTCCAGGCTGGGTTTAGAAGGGGTCGTGGTACTAGGGATATGGTAGCTCCCTGTCAGTTGCTTCCTTTATCTATCTTAGAGTATGGATACATTGGAGACAATGTTGAATAGAGCAAAGATGAGTTTTAATTAATACTTCCTATGGAAGCATCATCTGAAAGCAGGGAATACCAGAGGAATGTCTATCTGTGTTTCATTGACTATGCAAAGGCATTTGACTGTGTGGATCATAACAAACTGTGGCTGACTCTGCGAAGAACGGGAATCCCAGAACACTTGATTGTGCTAATGTGAAACCTATACTTGGACCAAGAGGCAGTCTTCAGAACAGAGCAAGGAAACACTGCATGGTTCAGGGCTGTTGTACATAGGGTCGCTGAGTCACAAGCGACTCGATGGCACATAACAACAACAACAACCACCCTACTACCACCAAAAAGAAATTACTCCATTCTCTGAATATTCCACCATCCCATATCTTAGCATTGCATTTATATAAATTTAATCTACTTATTTACATGTTGCCCTCCCTCTTGCAGAATTTCCTGTGCACAGCACTATGGCTAGAATACTGTAGGTATACTCAATAAAGACTGGTTGGATAAACAGTGATCTCAACAGCCCTACCATGTAAGTATACTTATCCCATTTCAGGTATTAAGAAGCATAAGTTTAAAAGTAATATATGATAGCATATTATGATTACCACAGGAATCCAGAATTAAGGTTGCATAGTGGAGTGCATTTGGGGCAGGGTGGGGGGGTATTGTATACCAACGAATAAGTTTATCTTTTGCTTTTCAA